TCAGGTGTATTTTACCAACGTCTGCAACCTGTCGATCTGTTGATGGGGCTGCTCTGTACTTTATAAATGCATGATCTTATATGTGAGTGTGTAGCTGAACGGTGCTTTCTTTGTTTCAGTTCATCACAAATTTGATCAACGTCAACATGACCTCAGTGTGCCAGGTAAGTTTGCCTCAACATTGAATGACTTTTGCTCTTCGGAGTAAACCTTCCACGGACACTCGGCGTGATTATAGATGATCTGTAGCTGTTTCTTTCCTCACTTTCCCCATTTTTTGTTCTTCTCCTCCTCTTCTTATCTTTCTACCATGGTACCTGCAGTGTCTCAGTTGTTCCCAAAGCAACAGTGGTCTACACCAACGCTGTCTGTACTCGCCACCCACGCAACTCTCTCTCCCTCTGTCTCTGCCTGTCTCTCTCTCTCTCTCCTACTTTTTTATATTTAATATTGTAAAAGTCTTTCCCAGTCCCAATGTTCTTTTCGTGTGTTGCTTGACAATAACTGAGCTTGTCTTGTTGTTGTGCTTGTAGATGACCCGTCTGGTGCTGCCCAGAATGGCTGAGAGGTGAGTGAAATGATAGGCTTCCATGTTTTGCGACATGACTGCAGTAAGATATCAGTGTTGTGAATGAGGGACTGTGTCACAGAGCTGTGCATGGAATCTCTATATTTAATAGAAGACCTTTTTTTTTAATTGTTTTTGAAAAAGGAAAGAAGTGTCTTTTTATAGACACAACTCTCTTAGCGAGGAGGGGTACAAGAAAATCTCCCTGAGCCCTTTCCATCACTGCATCTCTCTTTCCCTCTCCTCCTTTGTTCGCAATGCTGACAAGCTTTCAATTCACACAAAGTGCTCTTCCCACCCAATTGGCTGCTCCGTTCCCATGTGACTCCTGCTGGCCAATAGCAGAGCAGGCACATTTGGTGCTGTGTGAGGCTGAAGCGTCGCTCCACTACATCACTGCAGCAACAGGCTGCCATGGCAACGCACACGGCCACTACCACACTATTAATGTGTGTGAGTGTGTGTTGGGAACATGACTTTGTGTGTATTTGTCAGTGGGCTGAATGTGTTAAGACACAGGGTACTTACAGGTATGGGAAATATGTGGAAGTTTGTGGATTTTTAAGAGGAAATCAGCATTTAAAAACACATACAAAAATATTTTTACACTGTGCTGGCATCAGTGCTCCACATCTTGATTGAAGCCCAGTGATGTAGATGTGTGCTGTGGCAGCAGTATTGAAAGGGATGATTTTACCAGGTTCCATCAAACCTGAAAGCTCCAGAGTCTTGGAGTTGAAGGAATTCACTGTGGATTGTAAATGCCACACCCCTTTATGCTGTGTTTGCATTACAGGCAGCAAAGCAAAGTGCTAAATCTACCTTGTATTTTTCTCAGGTCCAAAGGAATAATCCTCAACATCTCCTCTGCCAGTGGCATGTATCCTGTCCCTCTGCTCACAGTCTACTCTGCCACAAAGGTATGTGAAACCTCTGTAACACAGGAGTATCCAGTAAAGATTATTTTATTGTACAATAGTGGTTAGTATCTGCTTGTTCCCTTACAGCAATGCAGCATGTATTTTGGAGGGTATTGATAACAGACTGGTATTTTATGGACTGACGTGTTAAATTTGACTTTTTCATCTTTCTCCCTGTGCGCAGGCCTTTGTGGACTTCTTCTCACGTGGCCTTCAGGAGGAGTACAGGCGTCAGGGCATCATCATTCAGGTATGTGTGTGTGGAAGTCTTGTCTGATGGAATTGCACCATCTCCAACAACACACCTTTAAAAGTGCCAAACTTTGCATCCTCACTGATAATGTTGGGTGGTTTCTGACTTGACATAAATGACAAATGATATAGAATCTGTCCCTGATGCTTTCTTCTCAGCCACTCTTGCCTGAGGGCCAATGGCATAAATGCATATTCATGAATGATGCGTCTGATGTGCCATTTTAGCCGTTTCTTGTCAGCAGAGGCAATGTTTGAAGATATGCTTTTCCACATCAGGCTTGTTTGTTCTGTTTTTAGCACCCTCTGTAGAGTTCACTCAGGTGCCACCTGGTGGTTGCTGTGTGTACAACAGATTCACCTCAGCAAACCCTGAGTGTAGTTTCACCTGATAAACCAGAGCAGCCTACAGCAAAGATTGAATGTGCATCTTTCATTCAACACACAAGACTTTATACTGACCCTAGGAAGGAGCCAGGAATCTTGTTGCTGTTGAAGCTAATTTCACACGTTCATATGTTTGTTTTATGCAGAGTGTGCTGCCCTTCTTTGTTGCCACAAAGATGACTCGTATCAGGAAGCCCACCCTGGACAAGCCCACTCCTGAGCGCTACGTAGCAGCTGAGCTTGCCACTGTGGGTCTGCAGAGTCAGACCAATGGCTACTTCCCCCATGCTGTCATGGTAAGAAGTGGAATTCACAAAATACTGAATCTATCTGGGAATACAACAAGTTGCTCTGAGATTTGGTGTTACAGTTGTAGTTATTTATGTGTGGTTTTTATGGCAATTGTGAAATCAGGAGTGATAAATGAATTGTTATTTGTACCTTCGCTGCTGAAACCATCTTTAGTAGGTGCAACAAAATTAATCTTTTTTAAGATGTCTCTTCTTCTGCATTTTTGTGTAAGTAATAAAAAAATAATAATTCTAAAACCAAATTTTTTTTTTTCTCTTTCAGGGTTGGGTTACCACCAAGCTGGTGCCAAGCAGCATTGTTATCTTCCTGGGGGCCAGAATGAATCGTCTGCAGCGTACTGGATACCTGCACAGGAGGAAGCTCCGGGAGCAGAGAAATGGAACAAATTTAAAAAAAAGTGAATAGGAAGATGTCTGATGATTCTGCCGACGGCCAAAACTGTTACGACCCGGTACAGTATTCAGGGAAGAGAGAAAGTATTTAGTATCTGTGCCATTGATCCTCCAGGGTTACCAGATATTTCACCTTTGTGCCTTTATTAATTATGCACATCAGAGTGTATGACTTAATGTTGAAAACGCTAATCTGCCCTGATTTGTCTGGACAGAAATAACCAAAGTTGACAGGAGCTGAAATAATGATGAGATGGTGCTGCTCTTGGAAAAGGACATTAATATTTTTTTGTCATTGACACTGATGGTGAAATTTATACAGCCAAAAAAGAGTTATTTGTTAACCCTGCTGTTGTAAGCAGTGGAAAATGGTGGTGGGCATCTTTTTATATGTATTTGTATCATTATTTATTGTATATTTGTATGAACACACGAGCCAAACTGAGACCTTTTCATGATTAGTGTTTAGCCCAGTCCAGTTAACAAATCAGTGAACCATTTAAAAATGGCCATTTCTACTTTTTATCATGTCGATTAACTTGCAGCCCTTAGCTGTAATCATCAACCACCAGATCTTTCTTCCTTTTTCTATGATATTGCGTGTTTACAGTATATTTAAAATGATGTTTTGTGATGGGTTGTTGCACTAATGTATCATGTGTTCTAGACCAAAGTTTTTGCCTGAAACACAAGTGCCTTTTTCCTACTGATATTGATGCTGGATATAGTCGGATACACTGAGCAGGTATTGAGAAGTCAAGATGAACTGTAAAAGGATGCAAATCAACTGCTGTTTCTTCTATGTAAACTACAAAATTACTCAAAAATTCTGGCCTTTTAACGATATAAAGCCACTAAATGAAAGTCGCCCACCCTCTAACCTCTGTACATTTAGTTTTACACTGTGTGTTCTGAAAAGATTTAACATGGATAGAGATTATTGTTATTCAATGTAGCAAATATCTCTTCAGATGAAGACAGAACATATACACATGTGCATTTTACATCATTAGCTGTGCTGACACGCTCACACTGGTTTACATACATCTTTGCTGGAGAATTGCACTCTTTACAGTTGGTTCAGAGCTGAATATCCCATGTGACTAGTGCCGCAACTTGACAACCTTGTCAGTCATTCCCCTACAATTGAAGAGTCTTCATATGCTTGTTAATGTAGAATCTGAATTTATGTGTAAAATTCAGTTTCATTTACCCTGCTGATGGCAATTTATGTTTTCTACTGTTTGTTAATAAAAGTTCTGGCATATAACAGTGTTGTATCTTGCATTCATTTTTTTTTTTATTGCCAGGATAAAATTTCATCTTTGAAGACCTTTGTGCAAAAGCCTGACCCTAATGTACTCAAATTTTTCTGTTCTTCAATCCTTTAATTAGACTGTAGTCTACCTTAAAAGGTAACCCTTCAACTACCAATAAAGTCAGACATTTTATTCATGTTAACTCATGTTTTTGCAAAAAATAGAATATAAGGGCTCACTATTTACCCACGTGGTGTCTTAAAACACTTTAGAGCCACAAGTGAGAACCATTTCTCTGTCAACAGTTTTTTCAAAACACTTTGTTCATATAAAATCTGTATGTTTGAGACTGGTACAACATGTAAAGTAGTGCTACCAAGGCCATTGCATCCCACATGTGGTTGGTTGTATTTTAAAAGGATAAATACAAGACAGTTATGGAAGGAATACTCAACTTGAGTAAAAGTGGCAATAATGCATTGTAAAAAATACTGAGTAGGTTCTGCATTAAAACGAAAAATGAAGGTATTGCAGTAAACAAATTGTTATCATTGTCAATAAAATACTAAGTATTCATTATGCAAACCAACCCCTGAGAGATTGTGTACTGTACAGATTAGTGGATCATCTTTATTGATGAATCAACATGAATCAACCAGTTTTTTAAGCAACTAATTGCAACTACATGTTCTTACTACAAACTGCTGGATTTTGTAATTAAAAACAGTGTCATATATTTTATATCATGTTCCTGGAGGCCTATATTTGATCATTTAATGTCATGATGTAAAAAAGTAGGTTAAAGTGAAAATGCCATAACTCTTAACCTAAAAGTTGAGCTTAAACATTATATGTGAATGAATGCATTTAGTTACCCTGGGCCACTTGAAGCGGAGATTCAGACGAAGAAGGGGTCGGAACTATAGTTTGAGATTACTGTTCCGGGTAGGCTTTGTTTTTCTGAGACACCGATGCAATGGCTGTCAAGCAGCAGGCGCCTCAGTTTATGTGAAGTTACCTCTTGTAAAGTTGTGATTTAGCAGCTATTTAGGTAAGTAATTCAAAGCTTTGATTCAACATTAGTTTACAGAGTATTTGTTGTTAATTGTGAATTTTAGAACGTGTTAATTTAAGTGACTTTAAGTAGGTTGAGCTAAATTAAGCTAGCTCAGAGACGAAGTAGCATTTAACCATTTAACCGAGGTGTATTCAGTCACATTTCAACAGCGGAAATATGCGGTGACCGATTGTTCCAGAAATGAATGGATCAGTGATTAATCAGTGACTTAGACCCCATCCCTTCATTTTTATCATTTAAAGGACTTATACAACGAAATTTAAAAGTTTTGAGCATTTTTAGTGCTTATTATTTACATGAGCAGGTCTTGGATAGGTTTAAATAAAACAGACAAACTCCAACGAAAGCACATGTAGAGTACACCATTAATGAAAATATTGTAAAACAGACACAATGTTTTAATTTGATCACCAAACATCACAAAGAATACAACAAATTCCACACAAAAGGATACTCAAATACTAAAGGCTCTTAGCATGGACTAACAAAGAAAGAAGAATTATAAATAGTTTGATTCTCTCAGTTTGGGATGCTAGTCTCATCAGAACTGCAGTCCTTGTCATTAACAACAGCAAATAGTATAAAATAAAAGACACAGTTTCAGGTGAACACGTCTATATTTCTGTTGCCATGGGGAGAGTTTGTTTGAGTAGTGATGAAAAGTTGCTTTTTGTTTCTCACCCACCAGATGTGATGTGATGTCGGACAAGCGTCAGCGCGCCAGAGTCCAGGGCTCCTGGGCCAAACAAGTGCCAAAACACACAGCACCAACAGGTAATTTAAGGGTCAGTGTATATATGTAATGTTGTATTAGCAGAATGTGACTACTCACCGAATTTGATCATCATTACCTCCAATGTTTCTTTGCAAGCAAGATTACGCAACTACTGGATGATTACCATGTGGTATGGGTCAGGGAAGAACCCATTACATTTTGGTCTCTAACAATGTGAGAGGGTTCCGTTGATTTATCAGAGAATAAGTGTATATGTACAATTTATGCAGAACCAAATTATTATTTTTGTTATTCTAAATAGGTACAGTTCCAAAGAACCATCAACCCAGAAATTCCAACCAAGTCCCTAGTTCTTGGGGTTTGGGGCAACAGAAGACGTCTCAGACATTTGAGTTTCATCAGCCCACTAAGGTAAACCTTTAACAAATCAAAATATAAAAGAGTAATCACTGCATTTTGGGAGAATTGTTCTTTCACAGCTTGTTAAAATGAAGTGTTCCTTCCTTTTTTCCTGATATTTCTTCATTGCAGCCAATTAGAGATCTTCCACCCGAGAGGTTGATAGAGTAAGTTGAACATTTCTATCTTGACGGGGTACTGTGGGTAATTAGTTTCTTTTGTCTGTGGCTTGATGTCTTGGTCTGTCACTTTGGTTGGTGTTGTGCACAGGATGACTAACACATTGTGCTCTGGACAGACATGCAGGCGATTATGAGATCAGCCACGGTCCGTCTGGAGTCTCCAGGTGAGTCCAAAGAAGGAATCTCACTCAGAGGGAAGTATGGAGGAAAGAGGAAAATCCTCTGTAATGGGATAGAACCAAACTATTGTGTCTATAATAGGTGACAAATCTGTGATAGAGTTTGAAATCCACTAGATGGCAGTAATCGCATAAGCAAAACCTCATATAGTGCTTCCTGAATACCATGCGCTCTACCTCCCTGATATAAGGCACTTTTTAATAGCGACTGAATATATATTAGTATGTGCTGTAAATATGGTCACCATAAAATGACAACCAGACTTTCATTTAACTTTGTTGAGTTGGTTGGTCGATGTCGAGACATATTTTATATAACCATGTTAATTAGAGAGGTATTAAGTCTGCGTGTGTTTGTGTGTTCTTTCTTCTGTCTGTCCAGACTGCGGCTGATGCCTGGGTTTCTTTCCCCAGAGGAGGCTGACTGGAAGTTCAGTAAACTGTTAGCAGAGCTTCCCTGGTCTCAGAAAACCAACTATAGACAGGGTGCGTACCAGGGGCTTAAGAATAAGCAGTGTTGCAGGAGTGAAACGTGAACTGGTGTAAAGGATTTCCTTACTGGAGCTGTTTTTCTGCTGGTTTTGTGTCTCTTCCAGTTTTGATAATAATACTGTGTTTTTCTTTCCTTTTTCTTTGTGTAATTTTTATGCTACATATAAAAAGGAGTACACACGCCTCTGTTAAGGCTGCAAACTCCTCTAAACTTTGATTTTATTTTTATTTAGAAATGTTCCATATGAATGTGAGTTTGCTTACAGTATGCATACGTTTTACTTTGTCTTGAGAAGATTAAAGCTAGGGTTGGTAATCCTAGAAAAAACTTCAGAAAAATGCAACCAATACATCCCCCCATCCATTCAGCCCTGTCATCATAGCAATGCCACCAAAACACATTAACGTGCACAGACTTGACAACTGCAAGAAGCTTTTCTGTGACTCACTCACTCACTAACTTCTGACCATCGACTTTGCTTCAGCGTTGTTCGTTTGTCTCCTTGGCTGAAGAGTCATGTGCAATGAGAGCACGGGCAGGGTGTGCGCAGGCAGACAGGTCAGTTAGTGACAGACAGGTACGCCAGCAAATTGTCTTGTTCATTGCAGTCCTGCAAGGGCCACAGGCACCGGCTTTATTTTTTAGATGACTTTATACATTGATGAATTAAAAGGGTTTTAGACACACACTACAAAACCTAACCCTTAATCCATATTTAACTAAAAACATGTGGTTAAGTTGTGTTGAGGAATAACTTCTCCACATTTCACCCAGACAGACTATTAACACTGAGACTGTTGAGATGCAGCCTCACTGCCACTGAATCAGCTTCTCTTCACTCAGCTGGCTTTTGTCCATCTTGTATATTATTCTGTGATAGCTCTGTAGCACACAAACAGCTTGTTGAAGACCAGATGAGTTCTAAACACTGACCATAGAGACAAGCTGTATTATCCTCTATCAAGGCTATCTCAGACTTTGTCAACAAACTCTTTGTGACTTTTGGGTTAAAGAGGAAGTAGTGGAAAACAGATGTTAACCTTTCATGACTCACTTCTCTGATGTTCCCTGTCTTTTCGCCTGACTCTGGACCCAGTGAGTGGGTCAGGGTTTATTAATCTTCTCCTCCCTGATAGCATATTTTTCTCGAAAAGGGTAAAGCTCTTCATAGAATGTGCACACATGTTTATACATTTTTGTTCTAGAGTTCAGTGCCCAGGAATAGTTCACCCCAAAATTTAAATCCACTCATTATCTACTCACCACTATACTGATGGAGAGGTGGGTGAAGTGTTTGAGTCCACAAAACACTTTAAAGTTTCAGGGGTAAACACTGTTGCGGCCAAATCCTATACAATTGAAATAAATGGTTACCGATTCTTCAAACGTTAAAAAAAAAAAAACAACAGAAAAAAATGCTGAAGTGCCCTGACATTCAAATTTTACTGAAGCGATGTCATTTACAACACGTTTTTAGCTTAAATGGCCACTGTTATCCTCAGCCCGGAGCCGCATTCACGTTCGCACGCACACATTGCACAAGCTCACGCCTCTATGCTCTCGCCCAAGGGGCACATGACAACATCAGCGAGAACTTGTGATAGCTATGCGACGATGCAATCTTGTGTGTGTGTGTGAATGTGGTTCCAGAGGAGAATGTCAGAGGACATTTAGGCTAAAAACACTGTGTAAATTGTGCTGTTTAGAGTCTATTTGAATGTCGGGGCTTACGAACACATGGATGACACCACAGGAGCAGTATGGAGGGATTTTATGTTTTTTTTCTGTTGTTTTTTTCTGTTTGAAGATTTTGTCACCATTTAGTTCATTTGTATTGGATTTGCCTGAAACATTGTTTACCCCTGAAACTCCAAAAGTGTTTTTTAGACTCAAACACTTCACCCACGTCGCCATCAGCATAGCGGTGAGTAGATAATGAGTGCATTTTCATTTTTTTGGTGAACTACCCCTTTAACCTGCTGCTTGGAATAGATTTTAGTCACAAAGCAGGTAATCAGAAAACATTGTAAACTTTTGACTTCATTTTATTTTGGCAAAGTAATTATTATAAGTAGTGTAATGGTTATATTGGTAATGATGTTGAACATCTTTAAACATGATCCAGTCCTGATAAGTATTCAGTTCTGTTCTTTTTGTGATTATAAACCAGGGATTTGAAAGAAATTTGGTTAGAATTTTGTGAACCATCTTCTCTTAGAGATGGAAGCTATGAAATAATCTTACCATGGTTACCAAATTTGAATTTGAATAAAGGATTTGCATGTGTGTGTCACCAGGTGAGGCATATGACGAGCCCAGGCTGACCTGCTGGTATGGAGAGTTGCCCTATACGTACGCTCAATCCACCTTGGCTGCCAACACACAGGTTAAATACACTTTTCTTATTTTTACAGATTATTTTGTTCATTGTTTTTTCACTTTCTTTTCTAATACAGAACAATTGACACAAGGTGACTTATTAGAATTTCTTTTCTTGTGTATTTCTATTTCTTTTTCTAATGTTTTTTCTTTCCCTTTATATTATCTGCTGAACTTATTTTTTAGTGGCATCCGTTGCTGTTAACCCTTCGTGAGGCAGTGGAGCAGGCGAGCAGCAGCAGGTTCAACTCGCTGCTATGTAACTTGTATCGGGACGGCCATGACAGTATTGGCTGGCACAGTGACGATGAGGCCTCCTTGGGTGCCAAACCCACAATCGCCTCGCTCAGTCTGGGGGACACAAGAGTGTTCAGCCTTCGAAAGCAGCCTCCACCGGTGAGATGGTGTCAGAGAGTGGAAATTGTTTTTCCCTGCTCCAGTTTATGTTCACGTTAACAGTACGACAAAGCAAACGTGTTGATCAATTATTAAGTGTCTCTGTTATGTCTCTGAACAATGAAAGGCTTCATTGAAGATGCTTACTAGAATACAGAACATGTCCTTGCTCTTAAATTTGAAAAAGCCTTTTTACTTGTTTTTAAAGTGGACACAGTATTTGACTGTTTACTTCTACTCGTTGATAGTTTGGTTGAAGCATGGGGCTCACAGTTAGGTATTTCGTGTTAAGTGTTAATTAAGAGAGGCGAGTGAGCATAGCAAAGTGAAAAAGAACCGCCAACGTGAATTAACTGGACACAGAGGAAAGTGTGTATAGACTCATCAGTATTTAGAAGCCTGTATTCAGTAGTTGTTTGTTATTTCAATCTTTAAGTATACACACTTCATTGGAGGCAGGTTTCATTAAACATGACATTGATGAGTTGTATTGTCGGTGATTTGCAGGTAACAGAAATGTGCTGTCATGTGACACTACATTGTGCCATGTCACATTGTTGTGTGTGTTATTAGACGATCATACATCGTGTGTGTTTATGTGTTAGGAGGAGAACGGTGACTACACTTATGTGGAGCGAATTCGGCTTCCTCTGAGTCATGGGACACTTCTGCTGATGGAAGGAGCCACACAGGACGATTGGCAGGTAGGCTTAACCAATCAAATGCAAGGCTCCATGCAGGCAAAATGACCATAAAAAACATGAGCCATTAGAGATTTTACTTTGTTTTGAGAAGATTTGAGCTAGGGACCGATCAGGATCAGGCAGAAATATAAAGAAAACTTAAAATGGTTTGGTTGCTGTAGTCACCATATTTGGCAGAGTCTATCAAACAAACAGATTGCGAAAATCCTAAATGTTTTGTTTATTGTATTTTATGTCACAATTATCAGAGGAAGGGAAACTCTTCAAGCTCTATACCAAGAACTACTGTATGTGAATTGAAGACGCACTCATGTATTCAAGTGTAGGCACAGACATCTAGGACATCTGGACTAAAAGCACCAACTTTTTCTTTTCATACCAATCAGATTTGTATATAAATTGCATTCCACGCTGTGCTGAGTTATCTTTAGAAAAAAACGTCCTCACACTGCAAGCTTAGACACTAGTTTCAATTTAAAACATATTTAAGAAGTTGAATCATTACTGTATATTCATTACTGTACTCTATATTAAGGTAAAACATGTATGTACCACTCAAAGGTTTGTGTAGCTTGCCTCTTATTGTAAACCCTGGTCAATGTCACAGTTAACACAAGAATTAAGGATTCAATCCAGTGAGTGATGACTAAAAATAACTCAGTTTTCACATCAAATTATTTTGTTTTTAATACCTTCGATACCTTTACCTGCCTGTTCTTTCTTTTATTGCAGAATCTACCTATTCATTTCAAGATTCTGTCTGTATGTGACTGACATATTTGGAGAATTGTTCATCTTATCACCTTCACACTAGCTGTGTGTCTTGTTAACGTCCCAAGGTAGAGCTGTGTCAACTTTGCTATGATTTAGACACTCAATACGAATACAATTTGAATAAACGGATGACCAGTGCTCTGTAGCATTGGCAGCTGGGACTTATCAGCGTTAGTGACGTTGTTGAGAATGACAACAGCAACAAAACCTGATTATCCTGGTCAGGGTTCTGTGTACTGGGCTGATCTTAACTTCCTGCAGCAGGTCTTTACAGTTTCAGAAAGAAAAGTGCAACCAGCATTAACACAGACCAAATAAACAGCCCATTCCAAACAGGCAGGTGTAAAAGAGGCACTGCTCTAGTTTATGTTGAAAAGTGTTGATGTTAGTATCTGATTGTAAAGTATTGTTTTGTTTGGAGACTTGGCTCTCAGATGTCCTTAACTGTTAGTAAAACAGTAATCCTATATACAGTAGTTACCTCTTTTAACCTTGGACTTTTACAGTAAATGGTCTAAAAACCTCATTTTGCTCAGCCAGGTGAGGTCAGGTGAAGCCTCACGTGCTCGCTCTGCTCCTGTGCATGTGTGTTTGTTTTTGTGTTCCCTTTAAAATGTGTGTGTGTGTTTGGCTGTACATGTGCTTCTGACTAGACATGTGAGAATAGACCTGTGTTCAATGGTCTCGGGCTCCTTCCGTCATTCTCAGGATGGATGGAGTGGCCTGGAGAGAAGAGCAGAGCTTTCGTCTAATGAGAGTCATTTGTTTTACAATCAGGGACAGCGACCGGGTTTGTGTGTGCATGAAGCAGGATGGAAAGACTTTATGTGCGTATGTGTGCGTGCGTGCGTGCGTGCGTGCGTGCGTGCGTGCGTGTGCGTGTGTATGAGAGAGGGAGAGAGTGAGTACATAACTGCTTTCTGGGTCACACTCAGCACTGAGAATATGTTTTATTAGAATAGATTGAATTTCATGCTCATAACAAAAAATAATTTCAGCCTTTGGAAAAGTAGATAAGCACTTCACTTCTGTCTAAAACAGATACAAATATTTAGTTTTACCATTTTAGTTTTGTTTGTTCAGTGCAACATTATCAAGGATCCGAAACAGACGTGCACAAGAGAACAGAAACACCATAAGCACTCCAAGTGAAATGAAAATCACAAAACAACCATAAAAACTACACTAAGACAAATTAATATCAAAATGTAATGAAGACAACTGTGGGAAGGTAAAGTAAGGGGACTTAAGAGACTTTGGAATAGATGACCATACTCCTTCATACCAAATTGAAAATTGTCATCAGGATGTGTTATGAAGTTGTTATTTGCACATCCGGCGCCAAATGAATGAATATAAGCCCTGAAAAAACATCCCCTTTCATAAGCAGTTGGGAAAAATATTTGCGATATTGTTTTGTAAAAATTTGAATGAGTAATGTCGTGTTTATTTTTTTTCTGCAACATAAGAACATAACAACTGAGCTGCTATCGCTATGCCAATGCAGGGGTGGGTAAAGTGTTTGAGTCCACAAACACATTTCAAGTTTCAAGGGTAAACAGCGTTGAAGCCAAATCCATTATAATTGAAGTAAATGGTGACCACCTCTTCAAATGTAAAAAAACATATATGATATGCTCCTCTGGAGCCAAGTTCGCACATGGATCACAGCGGACATTTAGTCTGAAAACATGGTGTAAATGATGCTGTTTTGAGTCGAATTTGAATGTTGGGGCCTACGGACACTTGACACCACAGGAGCAGTACTGAGGCATTTTATGGGTTTTTTCTGTTCTACGTTTGAAGAAATGATCATCAGTTTCTTCAATTTGTGTATCCAGCTAACTAACAAACCAATACAGATGGAAACATAACCCCCTTGGCTTAAGTAAGTGAAACACAGAGGGATAGGGGAAATACAGGGAGGGAGGACTACAGAGATAAAGTCCAATGGAAAAAAGCTTAAGAAAAAAGGAGAAGGTCACAGGTGAATTTATGGCACCACCTCCCTGAGTATCTGAACAAAGGTTTGGTCTCTCTTGCCAGGGAAAGAAGATCACACCATTTATTCTCTCTGTCACTGTAGTCATAGTCTGCCTAACAAAACCTCCTAACTCAGGCAGAAAGGTTTGGAAGTGAGAGATAAATATTTAACTACACCTGTCAATCCAGCTAAAGTACTTCATCTGTTTGAAAAAGAATACAGGGTTATTTCTGCCTGTTCCGGACGCTTTCTATTCACACCATTGTGGATAAGCAAACCCTTCACCTCCTTTTGAGCTTTGGAGATGAAGCTGAGACATGAGACCTTTAGCCCATATGTCAAATGGTAAGATAATGGTGTTTGTTGTATGTTGTCACTTTTTGTGACTGACCTTTATAAAGAGTGCAGAGTTCAGCTACAAAACAAAAATACTGTTGTGTTGACAGTACAGATTTTCTTCGCTGATGGCCTCATTTTTTGTTTTCTAATCTAAACTAAGATTGCCTAAAAAACAGGTACTGGGATTATTATACAAAAGCATCCTTATGCTGCATTGATTCATTTTAAATTTATCCGACTATTTATTTGTTTCATTTTTCTCTGAAGCCCAGAGTAAAACCATTGCTTTTTTTTATTGCAAATTAATTGATAAATAATTATTTTGTTGGTTCAAAACAACCAGAGTTTACTAAAGTTCTTTAAAATCATACACATGATGAGGAGTACAAGAATAAAATTAAATAAAATTAAATAAAATAAAATGCTAAAGTGAATACAAACTTCGTACCAAGGGACAGTCAGGAGCAGCAGGTGGAGGATCTGAGAGAGTCGACTATGTCCTTTAGTTACCACTTGCACTCGCAGCTGCAGTACATCAGAGTTGTTATGGAGGAAGACTCAGATTTAGCCGATACTTTCATGGATAAAAGAAATCGCATAAAGTAACCACATAAAATACTCAAATACCTAAAAAGTAATAAAATGAAACATTTACTGTATCTGTGTCTCTGTCTTGACTAGCATCAAGTGGCTAAAGAGTACCATGACCGTGGCCCGCGGATCAACTTGACCTTCAGAACTATTCATCCAGAGCTGGAGGGCCACAGGCCGGGGACCAAGCTTCGCTTCACTGCTGAGCAACAGTAAACTCCCCTCAGAGTCAGGTACTTCAGACTTAGGAAAGTGCAGATTTCAGCTGTTGGAGTAACACACCACTGAGTTATAGACCATGGTGTGACTAACAGCTTCCTCCAACTGAAACAGAGAGATTTGCAGCTCTGCCTGGATTCAACTGTTGCATAAGTGAAGCCACAATAATACCTCAGTTGTGACCAGTGGTGTTTATCAGATATCAGTGGTTTCAGAGAAGCTGTGCACCAGAATGGGTAATAATGAGGACTTAAAGGCTCGGAGAGAGGTCAACTCTGAATATTGTTTTGATTGTATTTATTCTTTCAGAAGCTTAGATGGTTGTTTCATTTCAGACAGAAGTTTTAGTCGGTATGTTGCAGGCTGTAACTCAGCAACCAGCACTGAGCATGGCACTTGATACCACAATAACTTTTGTGCCAAGTTCAGTCTGTGGGAAGCTCGAAGGTGGCAGCTCCTAAAGTGGTGTAAATAAACTGCATTTTGATTATAGATTTTGAGTATAGATAAGTTAGGTGGGGTAAGGTTTGAATGATCAGTGAGTGCAAATAAATATTCACATGCCATGAAAAGTGTCGATACAGTGTCCAGAGTGTTCTCTGTACAGCAAGTCACTGCTACTGTGTTTGTGTGATACTTTGTAAAATGTAAACAGTTTCCTGACTTGTTTATCTCATTGAGCTTTTGGAAAGAGTGTGGTTGCTATAAAAAGAGGGAGGAACCAGTAAAGTGGCCACTTGGGTCAGTTAAGACAAATAAGACAATAAGTCATGACATTGCTTTAACAGATCATACAACAATTCTCACACAACAAGCATAAGTAGTAGATTACTACAGGAGTTTTTATGGGAAAAATAATCTTTGTTATTTGGTTGTGTTCCGCTACAGTGACGTCTGAAAATCCATGAGTTGAAAGAAGTACATGTCACGATGGAATGTTCTGTTTATTATGTAACATAAATAATGCAACTTCTTGATTGCTGTGTTTCTGAAATAAACTAAATGTGTTCTCAGTTGAAACATTGTGTCCTATGTTCCAAAAGAGATACAATTATAAATAATCTAATGTCTCATTAATCAATTATTTGCAGCGCTGCACTTCATCAAAATCTAATTTGGGACTGTTGAGTTCAAATAGAATACCAGGTTGTGATGGAGAGTTTGTTATAAAAATAAATCTCAGCATGTTTGCAAAATACAACAAACACAGAAAGTTTAATGTCAGGGTTCCGGAGAGATGGTGTAATCATTGATGTAATGATACACAAAGGATGTGATAAAATGATTTAATGGAAACAGCTCTTGGTCTGTGGGCCAAATACTTTATCACGTTGACTTTATATGATGACATTAGGTTGGTTTTACTTTTTGACTATAGATAAATCACCAGACTTACATTTAAGTTAACTGTTTCAACACTTTTATTCTTACTACAGGGGAACCACACTGAAGCTCCTGTACGGTAGGAGACCTTGAAGAAAGTATTAAGTGCTATATCTGTTCAATAAGACAAAGTGCAGGGGATCAGGTAAAGAGGTGTGGGCACAGTCAGTGCTATTTAGGCATATTAGGGAGAGCAGAACCAGAAGTCTATGGTAACCAGTGAACTTTGATGAGTGACTTGTCATCTGATTTACTATTCCAAGTCGAGCATCTAGTGTTGATGTACACACCCTAATATTACAGCAGGAGAGCCTCATGGTCAGAGCCATTGCTTCATTTTAAAATCTAATGTGATGGAGTATTGATCTAACGTGTCACTGTCCTAATACCTTTTGGTGTTCATGCCTTTTTCTGACACATTTTTTTTTACTATGTTGAGTCTGACTGAATGAAAGTTAAAGTAGATCTTATTTTTTTAAGTTTAAACCTCACCATACTCATTAATGAGTACAACTGTGGAGCTTTTATGCAGTATGAGAAAGTATACTTTCACCGTCTCAGTAAAAACAACAAAAATATACAGGCTCAATATGGATATGATTTCTTTCTAATAATGTCATTTTGTTGTTTGTATTAAGCTTCAATTTTCAGAATAGTTAATTGTGTTTTTTTCAGAGAAATGGGGATATTAGACTGGTGTGTCAGGTGTGAAGACACTGACACTCATATGGGTGATTCCTGGAAATGTGTAACGTGTTGGTATTTTTAGACATTAGGTCAGAGGCCATGTAACATCAACTTACTAATGCAATTCCAATCATAGCGATGTAGTTTATTCTTAGCTGTTTGTGTGATATGGGTTCCTCTAATGTGGATTCATCACAGCAAAACAATCCTTGGTAAATACACAGACGGGCCTTAATCAGCTGCCGAATGTGATACAAGAGGATATTATTATAGAGATAGAGAAGCTTCATGTAACAGTTTTATAGCACTACTCCTCAGAAGAAATGGATCGAACAAACTTACCTACAGTTGCAGTATAAGCTGTGTACATGAGACAGCCTGGAGTGGTGCAAAAAGCTTTATGAGAACCAAGCAACATGCAGCTTCAACACTAAATATCACTAAATTCTACACACTGTACCTTTAACTAACTGAAACCAGTTACCTCTCTGTTAATTCTAAAATGTTTAAATATTAAAATGACTTTTCATTCTTCTCCTTTAAGAGCTTACTAGCACCCTATTTAGTTCGCAAAATAAAACCAGAATGGCACTTAGTAGAGCTCAAACATCCTCTAAGGCTCAACCGTCCCATGAAATTTAATCAAACTGTGCCAAATTTCACACACTCCTAGAAAAAATGGACAGTGTGAAAACTTAGCTTTCTTCGAGACATTTCAAATAAAACACACATTCATAGAACTGTAGTTATTAGTAACCCTCATTGTAAAGTTCACTCTACTGTCCACAGTTTCCAGAAAAGAAGATGTGTATTTGCTACAGATATTGTTCATTGATCGACAGTGTAATAGAGTAGTTGACAAATAACAGTATTCTATAACATATTTTAGTCTACAGGGCAGCATTACTTGACTTTCTCTGGAAAAAGACAAACGATGAATACAGACAGGGACCAGGAGCAGTTGAGTAAAATATTACAGTGAGAGTCACACACAGTATGATTGACTAACTGAGAGGGTTAGGTGTACTGTTCAAACTCAGCATCACTCGATATGATAACACACTGTAAACTCACTGCAGCCTTTGCTCAAACCCAATTTTCCATGTACCTATTCATTAGTTCAGCAGTCACTGTAACCATGACAACTTCTTTGACTGCCCCATCGGACTATTGCTTTATACTTATCTGCTGATGTTTTACGTGAAAGCCATAATCTTTTCAAAAACTCCCCTTTGCAACTGGCTGACAATAAGAATCATCATCAGAAGCAGCTGTTTGATACCCCCCCCCCACACACACACACTCCTGTGCACATGCAGTGTTGGTAACACGTGATAGTTGAGTGCAGGATGTATCTTTGTGCATATACAAAAGGATTTGGGGACACGTGCTGTGTAATAGGTTCAGCAGAGAGCAGACATCTGATGTGTATGTGTGTGAGGAAGTGAGTTAACGAGGAGGACCCACAGTGAGTTCAGCCGGTTGTGTAATAGGTCCGAAGCCTTTTACTGATGCAGTGCAGGTGAGAAATGCACCTTGCTGTGCCCAGCTTCAACCGGCTCCTTGATGTTTGGTCTCCAGAGGTGCAGTCTGGGACAATTTGTACCGGACAAGAACATCACAGAATGTGACACAGATTTAGTTTTGGGAGAGTGCCTTGTGTTCAAGACAATGAGAGCTGTGTGTTTGTTTCAATAAATGCGCTGTAGAAAATACCCTGTGCCTGCCCACTGACAACATGCTGTTCTGCTGGTTTAAGATGAATTAACTTGATAATTATGATCTTAGTCAAAACATTGGGGAAAAAATAGAGTCGGTAAAGTGATGTGAAATATGGTCATTAAATAACATTCACCTCCAAACACACCTTCATTGCTTTTAGTGATTTACTGCAGTATTATACTTTGAAACATATTTTGTATCAAATATCTTGCTCTCGTTGCTCTCATTAGTATTTTAAATTTTTAATGAAGGATTCATTCAAATGTGTGATATGAAAGTTGTTGCTTGTTATAATAAACCCACAGAGGATGAATGCCTGTGCAGGGTTCCCCAGCTTCAGGGTGCTTAAGTTGTTAGTTGGTTTAGTTTTACATTCCTGAATCAAACTTTGTTTAGTCTATTCCGCAGTTGTTAGTGAAAACCAAACTTCTGTACTATACAATGCAATGGTTTCTGCTGCCCTGTGTCATGTCTCCTGTGTTTTTGGTTTTCTTTTATAAAAAGAGGACTATGTTTGGAATTGTGTTTTAAGTTTTGCTCCCTGTGTCCCTCTCCTGTTACCCACCCTGTGTCCCTCTAAGTGTTCCCCTGTGTTCATCTCTCTTTCCTGTTTTATTTTGTAGTCTCTGCTCCTTTTCCCCCTGAACGTCCTGTCTGGTTCACCTGTTTGTCCTGTGCCCCGTCTCTAGTTTCTCATTAGTTCAGTGTGTATTTAAGTCTTTGTGCTTCCCATGTGTCATTTCACCACTCGTCGTCTCCAGTGAGTTTCCTAGTGTTTCCCCTGTTTTTGCTTAAGAGCATTTTGAGTTTACTGTTGCTTTTGGATTTTGTTATTATACCCTGCCTTCCTCATTAAAGGACACTTTTTGTCAACACCTTTTGTTCTGCCTTTTGGGTCCACCTGCTCCCTTACCCTCTCCCCACAGAAACGTAACACCCTGAAGTGAAAGTGAGAGGCAGTGTCTTCCCAAAACTATATTCTGAGCTTCTCTAATTTAAGGCTAATTTAAATTATGAAAATAAAACAATCTGTAATGTATCTGGCCAACTGAATTCCCACTAAATAAACATTTCCCAGCTCTGTCTTTGACTTTTTACCGTCTGCCTGAAAATAAACTTGGCATGTGTCACCATCGCTAACGAACAAGCTGCCCATCATTCCTGTGTTGGCCACTGTGTGCCTATTCCAGATCCAGACACCTGTTGTGCAGAGCTAGAAAAACATGTGGCTTTACAGGATCTGCATCAAAGCCGCGGTTGTTGCTAGCTCTTTTTAATCTCTCTCTTTAGCCAGTGGAGCCACTGGACCCACTGAATGGATCACACCCAATTAGGCCTTAGTCCAGTGGCGTTCCTGTCTGGGCTGTTTAAAGTGGCAACCTCATTTCCAGCCACCAGCATCTGTCCTTTCACATTAGCAAACAACCGAAACGTAAATCGCCGGATCATGTTTAATTACAGAGACATTATGACATTCTGATCCACATGTGTGTTAAAATGAATCCATTGGGAGAATATAGAACAATGTAAATAATAAGTACAGGTGCAACAGTGCTACATAATTTGATAATGAAGTAACAAACTTACTTGCATAATCAATCTTAGATAATGTAAAACCTGTTTGAGCATAGAGAGCATAGTTTTTGAATGTGCTGAATATAGGTAATAATCTGGCTCTGAACTGTTTACTTCAAGACTCTGATCACTATTAAATACTTAATTGTCCACATTTCTTTTTGGACACAAAAGAAAAAACTAGCCTGACTTGAGAGACACAAGAACCGCATATTCAGACATGCAGTGTATCAAATACTAGCAATGAAGCAGCAGTGTTGTACAGTTAGCACTGCAATGTTAGCCTGTTGGTTGTTCCACCACTGTGATCTTAAATTAAATATCTGATGAATTGCCATGAAATTTTGTCAGACACTTTAGGTTCTTAAAAGTGTAATGGTGTTAAATTTACATTGGTTTTCCAGGGAACCCAGAGCTTTAATCTAATTTACCTTTTTCTTGGTTATAGCCTGTTGAAGAAAATACCACAGGGAAGAGAATAATTGGTCACAACCTAGATTTGAAAGGTCATTGTCACAGTCACTATAGATTTTACTCTATGTGACTTTTGTTTTTGTTTCTAATAGTTTTTATAGTTTACTTTTAATAACAAAAAATGGGTTCATGCACTTGAACTGATTGACAATCATAGGAAACATTGAAGTCCATCCACA